TTTATTTCATGAACTAAAACTTTTAAGACATATTGTACATTTAGAACGTGATACAATTATTAATATACTTTATATTAAAAAGTTTAGTTCTTTTCCAAATGCATATGTTGCCTATAGGATTATGTTAACTATTCCTGTAACCGTTGCCTCTGCAGAAAGAAGTTTTTCTAAATGAAAACTATTAAAAAATTATTTAAGATCTACAATGTCACAAGAAAGATTAAATGGATTAGCTATTTTGTCAATTGAAAAACATTTAGTAAAATAAATTGATTATGAAAAATTTATTAAAGAATTTGCATCTAAAAATGCTAGAAAAATTAACTTTATGTCATAAAATATATTCACAAAAACATATACATAATTTTTTTTAACTCCGCCATTTGTAAACTTTTTAGTTTATTATTGCCGGTCCCAAGCCCGAATAAAAGAGGAGGGTTTATAACATTAAGTATAGTAAATGTCAAAGGGCCCCAAATTTTTGGTCGCTTAGAGCCCCTAAACTGGTTGAGCCGGCCCTGGGTTGAAGTTCCATTCTAACAAGGATTAATGCATTGATATTACATTGGCCGAACATTCATCGAACCATATCAACGAATTCACACTTTTAGGCTCAAACTGAAGTAGGGTATCGACAACTCACCTCCGGTAGCCACCACCTCGATGCCTCCCAACCCTTCATCATTGTAGCCCCATCCTTGACACTATTGATGGTCTTCTTTGTGTCACCGATGGTGAGAGCAGAGTAAAGTGCTTTAAGGTGTCATCAACGCGGATGGGGGTGGGAGCTAGTGCTTTAAGATGTCATCAACGCGGATGGGGGTGGGAGCTAGTGTAACGAGCAGTGAAACAAAAAGGTGATAAGTGTTGGTTTTGGTTGGATGGTCCATTTTGCTATAAATAATAAAAAGGGTGATAAGTGTTGGTTTTGGTTGGATGGTCCATTTTGCTATAAATAATAAGTGATAATAATCAAAACAAACAAATAAATAATAAAATCTAAATAAACATATAAAATGAATGACAAAACAATGATTTTAGGATAATTGACATACTAAAACAATTAACTTTCATGCCCAAACTACAACTAAACCTTCTAAAAAGGCTACATTTATGTTGGAAATTTTTTAAAACTATATTAAAAGAAAAACAAAACCACAGCCATAAGAGTTTCCAAGAATCCACGATATTTTACATCGGCGTCTGGAATTTCTCCGCCAGAGGCCGCATTAGATATCTCATCCCCATCTCCCTCCTCCACGCAACATCGACACCGTCATCCATGGCTTCTATCCCTCCGCTTCTAGACCCATTATCTCTCTCTCAATTCCGTTCCTCCACCCTCTTCCACCATCATCCGCTTTCTCTAATCTCACCCCCTCCATCATTTATCTATACTCTCCCATCTTCTCGCCTCCTTCCAGTTTCTCGCAGACCCACTTTCACCGTCGCCGGAGCAGCTACCTTGACCGGTAATTCCGTACCGGTACACTTTTTTTCTCAAATATTCTGTGAATCTAAGTTTCCCGTAATTTGTTTGTGGATCTTTACAGATGTATATAATCAATAATCATGTTCGTCTGATTTTTAAGTTGCTTGTACAAAATTGAGCTTGGTTGTTCATTTACTATCGGTCGTTCTGCTCCTCCGTGTACTTATTTAGGTGTAATTCGTTAGTTAATAACAAATTTTCGGACTGGATAAGAAGATTCAAAGAAAATTTTGTAAGAGGAATTTCATCAAACACTTTGTAGGCATAATGGGGACATAAAGTAGTACGCTTTTATATCTACTCGCATATCGCTCTTCAAAATTCAAATAGTATATCAGCAACATAAACAACTTAAAAGCAGCCATCGAAAAAGGAACTAAGCAACAGACTTTAATTACATAAATCTTGAAGTGAAACAAAAATCATAGAATTCGTCACCAATCTGTCCCTTACACTAAACCCTTTCAAACTCTTAATTTCTTTCCTTCAGGATCTTTGACAAGTTTGGTTCTTGTTTCTAGCCAAGAAATGGAGTCTTAATTGTGGGTGATTTCATGACTACAAAAGAAGAGTTACATGTCGTTAAGCCCACAACAACAGTAGACGAAGGTATTGCTTCATTGCTTCATTTCAATTTGCAATTTGCAACAAACAAATTCATCAATCTCTTAACTTTCTTCCCCTATTTTTCTAATGGATTTCATCCAACAGCTCTAGAAGCTCTTGTAGAACACAGAATAACAGGATTTCCTGTAATCGATGATAACTGGAAATTGGTAACGTTTTTTTTTCCCTCTCTATTTGATTGAATTGATATTCTTTATAACGTATTTAGAGCTTGATTCTTGTTACAGGTTGGATTGGTTTCAGATTATGACTTATTAGCACTGGACTCTGTATCAGGTAATAAGCATAACTTAAAATACCAAAAAGATTTAAATTTTATTTGTGGGTCCCACTTTTTATATTTTCTAATATTCCAATATTTTTCATTAGGCCCTGCCCGACCTGATACGGGCATGTTCCCGGAAGTTGATAGCACCTGGAAGGTAATTATTCATTTAATTTTTATTTATTTTTCAAAAATATTTAAAGAGATCATGGTGTTTATTTCTTTTTATTTTGTAAACATGTTTTAGATCATGGATATTTTTTTAGCTACTTGAAATACATATAATATGTATTTTAAACAAGGGTTAATCTCATAAAAGACCTTACATTTTGTGTTTTTTCCGGATTAAACCTCAACTTTATTTATTTTTTTCATGAAAAAGACCTTGCATTTTTTCATTTTTTCCGATCCAACCTTTTTAGTCATTTTTCTCTAAAAAAGTTGTAAAATGTGAGGGGTTTTTCAGGAAAAACTAAAAAAGTTGAGGATTTATTTGGAAACATTTAGAAGGCTGAGGGTTTTAAAAAAAAAAAAAGACAGTTGAGGGTTTTTTTGGAAAAAAGAAAAAAACATAAGGTCTTTTTCATGAAAAAAATAAAGACTGAGGTTTAATCTGGAAAAAACATAAAATATAAGGCCTCTTATGAGATTAACCCTTTAAACAAAATGAAAAAAGTTTATATGCAAATTAGGGTTTTATGGAGAAAAGTCTTCGTATTTTGGGAAAATTTCTGATAAAGTCTTAGGGTTTTTTTTTTAACAGAAAAGTCCCGATTATTTAATATTTGGGTCAAATTAACGAAAAATACGTTATTTTTATTTTAACAGGAAATGACAGATTATCGTGTAAAATTAAATAATCAAGACCTTTTTGTTCAAAAAAAAAAAATTAGGACCTTATCAAAATTTTTCCCAAAATAATGAGAATTTTCTGCATAAAACCCATGCAAATTATATAACAATATATCTTTATTTAATTAAAGTTTATTACATAAAGTAACATCTTTTTCTTTATTTATCAAGTTTAGTTTCATATTTATACAAAACAAACAACATGTTTGAATGACTCCTTCCTTTCTTCCCTCCCAACATGACAATGGAATGTAATGATCCATTCCATTCCTTTCATGATTCCATTCCATCATACCAAACAGACCATAACTATCAAACTCAATCTATTCTTTTTGTTGGATTAGCTTCGTATTGTAATTTCATATATTAAAAAATTACAGACATTTAATGAAGTACAAAATTTGCTAAGTAAAACTGATGGGAAGTTGGTTGGTGATTTAATGACACCTGCGCCATTAGTAGTTCGTGAAAATACTAATCTTGAAGATGCTGCAAGGTTTGTTCAACCTTATTTTTCACAAATTTATTTTTATTATCATTTTATAACAAAAAAAAAATCTTATACAGTAATTTTTTTTTCATGATGTCAGATTGTTACTTGAAACCAAATATCGCCGCCTTCCAGTTGTAGATGGGGAGGGAAAGCTGGTAAAAACCTTCTTTAGTACTGTCAAAAAAAGGGAAATTGTCAGAAAAAAGGGAAATTGTCAGAAAAGTCCAAATATTTTCGGAAAAGTTACACTTTAGTCCCTAAGTTTTTTTTTGAACATAAAAGTCCCGATTATTTCATTTTGGCTTAAGTTAACAAAAAAAATCTTTTTTTTTCTTTTAACAGTAAATGACATATTATCGTGTTTTTACAAATAATCAGGACTTTTATGTTAAAAAAAAACTTGGGACTAAAGTGTAACTTTTCCGAAAATATTGAGACTTTTCTGACTTTAAAAAATATTCAACAAAATGTCGGCATACTTGGGTAAATAAAAAGGAAAACTAATTAAGGGAAAATTCGTAAAATGTTACGTTTTATAGTTGAAATTGATGAATATTGTGAAATTTGAGTTTTGGGATGTAAGGGTAAAACGGTCATTTAGTATCCATTCTAATAGCCATTGTTTTTACATATGAAGGTGGGGATTATTACAAGAGGAAATGTTGTAAGAGCTGCCTTACAAATAAAAAAGGCGAGTGAAATGAAAACATAATGTTTGAAGGAATAGTTGCGTTGGTGATTTTTATGCATGTAGCAAACTAGTAATGAAATTAGTTCCAAAATTTTTGGTAATTTGTAATAAAACTTAATTTTTTATTTGTAGATCTACTATAATTATCCAATTGAGATCATAATGTTGTAGTATTGTTTTTCCAAACAAGTAATGTCATTCAATGGGGCATCGTTATAATTTACTTCGTGAAAATGGTAGGGACAATTTTCATACAAAGGCACATGCAATGTACTTTTCACATTTCATATTCACAATTACTTATCACTTTTGTCAATATCCGTATAACTACTCATTACCATCAAAATTTAATTCTTATATGTCGCATTGATTAGATAAAATCACTCATGACCATTTTTGGAGCCTTAAAAATGGAAATATTATATATAAAGCAATACTCCCCAAAACTGATTATAGAAGCGTTTTATAACTTTTGAATTAAAAAGTTTAGTCTTGAACTTGTCAATGGCGACCTTTAATAGAAGCAGATTGTTACAACATTATCAATAACCAAGCACAATCGATCGTTTTGTATTAGCAACCAATTAGATTAATTATGATATTTAACAAATTTGGGCAAGAAATGAGGGATTTCATCATTTCGGGATAAAAAAGGATTCTTGAAAATGCATTACTAAATCAACCACATCATATTCAATTACATCCCAAAAGCATTTGATAAAATCAAACATAAAATCATCGGGGATCTGGGGATTTTTCATTCCCACAATCATGTATCGCTATTTTAATTCATAGTCTTGTGAAAGGATCTTCAATGAACAAAATATGATCAACATTTAGGATTTTAGAAAACTCGATTTACATGATAATTCGATTCATATGAAGATGGTTGAACTTGGAAGTAAAGTACTTAAAAAATTTGTGTTACATGGTTGAACATATCATGAAAGTTTTTGAGTTTTCATCTCCCTCCACCCCAACATATTTTATCATTTTTCTTTACAGAAGACAATCTTCCAAATCAATCATGGTTGCTATTCCACCATCCAAACGTGTATCCATATTATTGATTTTTGTTCGAAGATCAACCTTAGTAGAACTTTGAATATTTTTCCATATAAAAGTAATCATTTCTTGATATTACTTTTGAGCAATTAAAGCTTCTTTTTAAACAAAGCCCACGCATAACCTTCTGATGATAAGCCCAAGTATCTTTGTTCGATTCCTTTCGTTCCAAATGACATTTGTTTGATTCCTTCAACCCACACTTAGTTATTACTTATGTGTGCAACCTCCTTCTACCCACACTTAGTTATTTGTACAACTTTTTTATTTGCCTTTAGTCAGCTGCTTTTTATCTGTCGTTATTTTTTTTTTCGTACTCCCGTTTCTTTTATTCATTCAGGTGGAAGCCCATTACCATTAACTTAATTGAGCCCATTATCTAAGGATTAGTACGAACTTTAAAAAAACACATTACTTCACTGATGTGATCGGCAATTCAGCATATTATAGAACCGGAGTAATGTCAAATCCTATTTTGTATGGCAATTCTATTGTTTTGCTGTCCCACAAATAATATAATTAGTTATTTTTTTAATATTAATATTAAATTTAATTATTGATTAATTTATCTTTTTAGATTGTTATTATATTAATACAAATACATAAATATATTGAGAATAGTTTTAATTTATATTTTTAATGGGAAATTAGATATCATCCTATATTTTCTTCTCAATCATCCTCATACCCATGTCAAATGGTGACATGTGTCACATTTAATGAAATTAATAATATTTTAATTCATTTGTCACAATTTAGCATATATAATTTAGTTTCTCCTTTTTAATACGTTTTTATTAGATTTTATATTTATAAAACAAAACAATCATTGAGCCCATTACCATTACTCTCGGTTCTCTAAGACGATTGATGATGCTAAGAACCTTCCGTTGAAATGAATAATGATCCGGTATTCCTCTAAAATCATCTCATTCATAGAAAAAAAACAACTTGATGAGAATTCAAGTAATCAAGATGTCGTTTCTTCGCCAAAGAGAATTCAACTAACAACTCCAATCTCGACATCTTTGTTTCTTGGTACCTAAGAAATTAATCATGTATCAATTGCATAAATCTTTTATCCAATTTCGTTTATCCATGCTCCCAAATGTTGCCAAGAGTCATAAGTTAGAGAGATAATTTGTAGTTTGTTGTAGTCTTATCTATCTCCTTGAATAGAGGCTGTAAACTAGATTGGTTTGTTTTATGTTTCCTTACATAAATACATGAATCATAATTGGTGAATATATATATATATATATATATATATATATATATATATATAGGGAAAAGTTCAATA